TGACACAAGTATAAAGACTGGTAGGGTTGTTGTTGGCTGCAAGCCATGTCAGGATGACATCATTGACCTCACTCTCATGTAACTAAATCTTTGCATTACCAGAGGAGCTACTGCTCCTCTCGTCTTCCATAGTCTTAGACTCAGATAGGACGTTAAACCAATCAATCAATCAATCAATCAAGGCTGACAAAGACGGCGAGGAGAGCCGGACTTAGCGTGGTTATGAAGAAACAGAGGATTCAGATATTCGGTTTTTGACTTTCGCTCGTAGACAGAAGTTCTTGTAGATACCTTCCTTGTTAGAAGTTGTTCTTAGATTGGCTATGTGAAAGCCTGTTGCAAATTGCTGTCTAGTGTTCACTAAAAGCCGTGGACCGACCCTGCAAGCCGAACCGATGGTGACGATGCGGGGTAAGCTTAGCTTCAACAAGTGCCGGACTACATCTGAATGAGTGACTTCAGTTGCTCGATAGATGTTCCTCGAAACGGGCCTCTTTCTTGTTATTTTCCTCAGTATCGTCTTCATCTGTGGAGCCTCAAGATTGTCAAAATGGCAACAGCGACGGAGAGACAAACTCAGCAAAGCTACTCAGCCGGTGCCGAAGTAGACACTGCCAAGAACCCAACAGCCCAAAAGCTACTACAGCGCTGTCAGGATTTTTTGGCCGAGGTCGAGAACCTGTATGTGTGAACGAGCCAACGCAATCATCTTGCTGAATTATGATCAGAACCCCGGGCAAAGACCTCGAAGCCTACCTGAACACCCACTACGGTTCCGGGAACGCCATCTACGAGGACCTGTGCACTTTGACATGCCAGGGCCTGCAAGAAGGCTGGGTAGCCAACATCGACATCCAGGGTCGAGACTACCGACGTTCCAAGATAGCCCTGCCCAAGGAGGAGACACGCTTCTTTTCGATAACGACAGTGTATATGAACTCGCAGGATGTCTTCTCAGGGCAGTACCACAGCCATCCGTACGGCGAGATCAACTGCGTGGTACAGATTGATAAGAGTGCAGAGCTGAAGGGTATGCAGGGTTGGCAGGGTGCTGGCTGGACGAGTCCAGGAGCGGGTACGCATCAGTGAGTGGCTCCTCATGAGAGGTTATCGTGATGAACCAGCATACTCACGATGTTATAGCTATCCACAAGTTCGTGGCGGCGCGTTGATCGCGCTGTTTTTTTTGCCGGCTGGAAGAATTAGCTATACAGCAAAGCCAGAGGATGCTCAGCCATTGAGCTTGTAGTCTGTCTCTCGGTTTGCAAAAGCGACCGAACGCAACGCGCAATACTCAAGTCTTGAGGTAGCCAAATTGGATGAGCTGAGATTTTGTGAGGATGATAAAAAAAAAAGATTGCAGAGAGCTGTGCTGGCGGGGCTGCATTGTGCAACTGCCTAAGATTTGCTGAAGCGCCTCTGGTTGTCTTATGTTAGCCAGGACTGACAGTTGCTGCATCGTTGCAGCACAACAAGTCTGTTAAGGTAGCCTTGCATGATCCATTGCTATCGTATTCAAAGTTCTCGAGCGAGAAATGCATCTTTCAGACATCCAAAAATCGAGTGCCGAGCGGAATGCTGGACGCGGTGGCGACATCCCAGGAGAGAGACCTTCGAGGAATGACGTCTGCTCCTGAGTTGAGACTGTTGAGGACATACGTATGGCTGTTGACGACGAGATCGAAGCGATTGCGACACCTTCTTAAGATGGTGGATGCGCTGCGTCAATCGCCTCCGCAGCTACCTAGAAATGTGCTAAAGTTCCGACTAATTGTTCGTTGCAAGTACTCGCGATGAACGCGTGTTCAGCTGAAGCATCGAGATTGCAACCTCATGTGCTTGGTGATCCAGATGCGTTTGTCAAGGGGCATGTTCGACAAATGGTCAGGAGGTGAAGGATGGAAGGGCTTTACAAAGCTCGTGACGTTGGTATGAGCGTACCACTCCTATCGTGAGAGTGGAGTCAGGGTCCAGAGAGGAGCAATGAAGCTGACCATAGCGCTGGTACAGTAGCCCGCCGTGGTCCGGTAAAGAATGTTGGAGTCATGTCTTTTAGTCTAGAACCGTTGATGCTTTCAAAAAGGTCCATTCTCTTGCAGAATGATCCTGGCGCCCCCGTTAGTGTGTTGCAAGAACACTCTTTTGCAGCTATTGGTTCTGTTGCACGATCTCACGATAGACGATGCGACTTGTGCCCCACGCGGGGATGCGTTGAGATGGGGATCCGCGTTGTTGCTCCAGCTTTGATACAACGGGGTCCAGTTTACTGACGTTATGTGTCGAAGAAAGTGCGAGAAATTTCGTTCTAGGGAACCCTCGGATGCGTCTTGGCCACCATTCTCGTCCAAGTTTCGTCCTGACACGCGGCTCTTCAGCAGCAACACGGACGCATCCGTCGCCCTCTCGTTCCCAGTGCCCTAATTGGGACGGTTGATGTGCCTGTGCATCCAATCGCGAAGTCACGTTTCTTCTATTTTCGGTCGGGCGAGCGTTCTCATGACTAACATTGACTCTGTCCGACGCCCCTCGGTGGTCCTCCCGAGGCAACACAAGGGTTCACAAGAGCTTGGAGTTTGGTCGGCCATGATTAAAACCATTGCTGCCCAGCATGGGAAAACCCACCATTCCTATCGTACCTGTCATTGTAGATGCCTGCTTCTTGTACCTGCAGTAGCATCGCGCCTGCCATGGGACCCTCGTCAACCAATTCCTCCGACCACACCCACGTCGAATCGCACGAACTCGAACAATACCCACCTTCACAACTATCGCAGTCATTGCAGCCCGGCAATGCGACACCAGGCAGGGCACGCGTGAGGATCAACAGCATCGCTGCTGAGATCCCACCACCACCTATTGAGGAGCGCCCTAGCTTCAGTCACGTCAGCGAGGCCGAATCACTCGAAAGTGCTGATGACCAGACTGTTGCTGCCGCCGAGCAGCTGTTGAAGGCACACAATACCGGTAACGCCAAAGCACATATGACGAGCGACGGTGCAGACCCCTTCGATGATTCTGAGGGTTATGCCGTCACAGGAAACACACAAGGTGGTGTCTTCTACCAGCTGCTACAGGCCTACAAGAACCCTCCTTCGGCATACCACGACCACTATACGCTCTCTGAAGCCAGCAACAGCTCGCCGCCCACTACCCAGCGACCTGGCTCCTCCTCTGGCGCAGTCACTCCATCGCGCAAGAAGTGGTACCACCAGGAAAAAGCGGCACAGTCACAAGAGACGCTTGCAACGCTCATCGGTGCATCCACCAAGTTGGCAAATCCCAATGACAAGAAGGAGACTACCACCCGCCCACACCACAAGCGCACCAACAGCGGTGGTGGCATACTAGCCAAGGTTATCAAAGCCAAGGAAGACCAGGATGTCCGCATCAAGATCCACGTCGCGAACATCCTCAAGCGCCAACAATACATCATCCGTATGTGTCGTGCTTTGATGCTGTTCGGCGCCCCGACCCACCGTCTGGAAGAATATCTTGCGACCACTGCCATGGTCCTGGAGATCAACAGCCAATTTCTCTACATACCAGGGTGTATGCTGATCTCTTTTGACGACCCCCTGACACACACCGCTGAAGTCAAGATTGTTCGTACAGCACAAGGCGTCAACCTCGGCAAGCTCAAGGATACCCACGAAATCTATAAAGAAGTACTGCACGACGTCATCGATTTGGACGAGGCAATGCAGAGGCTAAACGAAGTCATTAACGCCAAGGACCGTCATAACGTCTGGCTGTGCGTCGTCATGTATGGTGCAGCATCTGCAGCAGTCAGTGTGTTCTTTTCAGCACGTCTCATTGATATGCCCATCATCTTTGCACTGGGCTGTTTGCTTGGTGTTCTGCAGCTAGTCATCTCGCCGCTTTCGAAGACATACAGCACTGTTTTCGAAATCTCCGCGACCATTTTGATGAGTTTTCTGGCACGCATGTTCGGCAGTATCAATGGTGGAAGCTTGTTCTGCTTTTCTGCGATTGCACAGAGCGCCATTGCTATGATCCTCCCTGGATGGCTTGTGCTCAGTTCTGCGCTAGAACTACAGTCTCGTGCCATCGTTCCAGGCTCGATCCGCCTTGTCTTCGCCATCATCTACTCGCTCTTCCTCGGATACGGCATCACTGTTGGCACGGCCATCTACGGTGCCATTGATTCGAACGCTACGAACGCACAGACCTGCACCGCTCCGCTGAACAAGTATTGGAACTTTTTGTTCGTTCCACTCTATGTGTTCTTCGTAACTTTCACCGTGCAGGCCAAGTTCAAGCAGATGCCTGCCATGATCTTGATTGCTACGGCAGGGTACACCGTCAACTTCTTCGCCAACATGAAGTTCACATCCTCCGCGCCCATTGCCTACACATTTGGGGCTTTCACTGTTGGTGTCCTTGCCAACCTCTACAGTCGAGTGAGACATGGTGTCGCGGCCGCAGTGCTCTTGCCTGCTGTGTATGTGCAGGTTCCGGGCAGTCTTGCATCCAGTGGAGCTATCGAATCTGCTCTTCAAACAGCAGCTGCACTTATCAGAGGCTCTGCAGCCGCTGACGTAAGTAACATGTATCGATCCCTCGATCACTTAAGTTGACCGCTAACAGGATACCACTGATGGTCTCAACTCCATCGTCTTCAACGTTGCCGCGTCCATGATTCAAATCGCCATCGGTATCACCGTCGGTCTTTTCATGGCAGCGCTTCTCGTTTACCCGATGGGTAAAAAGCGTAGCGGTCTTTGGACCCTATAGAGTATATCCCTGTTTCTTTGCATAGCGACAAGGCGTTCTGGGCTCAACAAAAAAGAGGGGGCGTTCGGGTTGCCCATGCTAATCACCTGTAGTTCTAAGGACCATATGTCTTTCGAGATTGGCACTGCCATGGATGAATGACGTGGTGTCATGGTGAAGTGTGATGGAAGGTAAGCCCTTGCGCCTCGGGAGTCAACCATGCGACACCACCCAGCACGGCGAACCGACTCGGCCATGCAACACGCCCCATTGCAGACATACCTCGAGTCAAACACCTTGAGCGACTCGTCCACCGATGATCGTTTCTGCCCAAGCACGCACAATACCCCATAGCAGTCCTCGGCACCGATTTTGAGCCCAGCACCACCCACCGCAGCCGGTCACTTCATGATATTCACTTGTTTCATGACCTGCAGAGCTTCTGCGAATTCCTTGTGCGCCATAACTACAGAACCCAAAACCGCCATCGAGTTTTTCTTTGGTTGTCTCATTGTTCACTTCCCGTCATATTTCACATCTCTTGGCTTCACGGTCCTTCGAATCTCTATCTGCATCTCTCTTCGTATCTCCTTGCCTCGGTCTCACTTGTCAACTTTTTAGACCTTATGCTGATCAGTATCGCAAACACTCGTGACATTCGGAGTGCCCACTAGTTACATCTCGCAATGGTTCACGGCCACATGGAGAAGATGACACGATGTGATTGGTGTCCGAATTGTTGGCCGAGACGGCATGCGAATGATTGATCGATGGTTGTGCATGCAAGCCATCACAGTGTAGCGTAATCGCATGTAGATGACAATGGTGTGATCTGTAGTAGCAACACAATGTTTCCGTCTTACGACACCCAGTTCAGCTCACGAAACAAACGATATTGATATCGGGCAGCATTACCTGGAAGAGCATTTTGCCTACTCGGCTGACTCTGTTATAGAAAAACCTAGCTACGGTGGAACGAATGTTCCTCCCATTCTCCATCCAGTTTCACTTTCGTCCCTCATCAACACCCACCCACCGACTCCTTCCCTCCACGGTGCCGAAGAAGCTGTCTTCGTTGCTGCCCCACTCCCAGTCCAGTGTGTAGTCTTCATTTGTGCCTGAAAACTTGCCCGCAGTGATGGGTTGGGCCATTTTGATCTCGTTGGACGACGGTTGCGGGATTGTCAGGTGAACAGAGGCTGCTGTTGCGGCTTTGCAGGCGAGCATGTTGACGCCATGAAGGGCGAGGACTTTGTTGAGGTCGTCGGAGCAGGATTTTTGGCGCGTGTATGTGCCGAAGAGGGAGTGGAGGTCGATGTTGGATAGTGCTACCATCTTGACGGGAAGGTGGGTTGTGCTCAAGGTGTGATTAGGTTGTTCAAGGCTGTATTGATGTACTCGAAAGTCGCTCAATGCAGTTATAGGCTAACCTCAGTGCTTGCAGAGTGTGAACTGGATAGTCTGTCTTTGGACTATGTGTTAGTAAGTCACTTTATGTATGCTACCACAATGCTGATCAAGAAAGTGTCGTCATCATGGGCACTTCAACGGAGACCGGGCGGGCTCTCGTGATCAAAGGAGGCATTTTGACCATCTTTGTGAACAATCAATTTTCTTCAGTATTGTCCAGTGTAGCGACCATGCTCAATTGAGGTATCTCGAAGTTAAGATATGAGATGCCTAAGGAAGCCACGACATTCATCATGTTGTGCTCTGACGTCATCTCTCGAACCCTTTGTTTCACATCGCCCCCAGCCATCATCGTTGCAACACCATCTTTCCCAAACACTGAATTTCCATGAACAAGATAACCGTTGATGCAAACTTGAACCGCGGAAAGAGTGCGGCTGAGCAGTTAGCATGGCAGCAATTGATGAACAGTTCGTTCGTCACTGGTAAGCTCAGGTTGTACATATGAGCGGCTGAAAGAACCTGTACGACGACATTATCTCGCGACTCCAACGTTACAGATACAGATCAAGTAGCAGACCTCTTAAACGCCGTCCACACCAACACTAGTTCCGTTGATCAGCACACTTCGATTGCATCGCCTCCTCAAGATGTTTTTCACATTACCCTCCACCGTACTGCTTCTCGCAGCTAACATACTGTTGTGCGCCAACGCATTATCAACTCCAACACCGAAGGTCCTAGCTGGTGGCCCATCAGCTGTCCCCATCCCATCGAACTGCACTGTCACCAACCTCACACTCACACTAGGACAGATGCGCAACGAATCTTACCTCCCAACAGCGGACGCCAAAAACGATATCCTCTACTCTACATACTATCCTTCGCCTTCCACAAACATAACGACGATGTCTCTGCAATGTCTTCAGCAGTGCCACGGATATGGTGACGGAAGCCAATGCAAGACAGCTTTCTGGGCAGAGAAGATGCCGGTTCCAGAAGGTTACTGCGGAAGTTCTGGGGGACAGCTAGAGACAGCTTGCTTATTCTTTACCCGGGTGCTGGAAGATCAGGATTTCATGCTTGCGCCGGAAGGCCAGGCGCCGGAGGCTTTCGCTTGGAGCTTGCAGTGCTAAATAAGAACGAAGAAGACCAAAGGGTTTTGGGTGGCACTGTACATTGTGCAATGGAAGGACGAGTGTAGCATGGTCTGGGTGGAGTCAATTGTATGCAAGTAGCCGCCTGATGGCTAACGAGAGTATCAATAGTACAACTGGGAGTGTCTGGATTTGCTTTGTTAATGCTCTATCTCGCCTATCTAGTCAAGGTACCTACTGTTTTCCCGGCCCCCATCTCGATCAGCTCTAGCGTCGACCTAAAGCGGCGGCGCGTACCTTCCCCCGTAGTGGAAGTAGTCGCGAGGTTGTCACATTTGAGCATGCGATATTGATTGTCTTCATATTTGCAAACCTGGCTGAGGCGTCATGCATGGACCATCTATACGAAATCAACAACTTCCAGCCGTCTCGACTCATTTCCGTTCGGATTGTCCACTCTACAATCTCCATATTGAACGAGAACTCCGGCCTGCATTATCAGATGATCAGTATCTGTAGCCTGTTCTAAGTACCCGCCATCGAACATACGATCCACTATTACAGATCTATTTGGAGATCACGAGCCGTTATACTATCCCTAGCCCGCCCCATACTTCGACCCACAGCGGCCTCTAGGATTTCGGGTGATCTTAGCAGCCCTATCAATATATCAAGAGATTCAAAATCGGAGTACATGGTGAGGATACGAGAGGAATATTATCGGGTCCGGATCACATCACGACGAGGTATCATGAAGGACATGTGTTGTCACCCTGCAATGACCGTAACGAACGATAAGACCACATCTAGTAATGTATACGGCACGTGGTTGAATTCTTCCATTAGCCGTTGCCCGACTTTTCGACTACGGGAGGCTAATTTTAGATAGGCGTGACTGGCCTGCACAAGCGAGTGGTGATGGGTATTTCAGCCTCCACATCGCACTACCAGGATAACTTACCCAATTTGGCAGGCTCTTGCTAAGCTTGAGACGAGAGAATGGGCTTCTTCCATCTAGGTTGTTGAATTTGATTCACGGAGGTTGCAATTTCCACCCGGAGGAGAGCAGCGAGCAACACCGCCGTCCTTACATTTGGCATTGTTTCAGTCAATCATAATTACTGGTTAGCCAGATACGAGGTCACCATCGCGTACACAGTGCCACGCCTTCTGTGCATCTTTCTATGCACAGAGTGGACGGAGTTCGTAACCCCACTGCGTATCCATGTCGCTCACTGTCCGCGGACCTTCTCAGATCGGCAAAACCTGCCTTCTTTCTGTGGTCATGGCCCGAATCGTAAATCAGCGGGCTGTTCTTAGGCGAGTCGGTCTGAGCGACTCGACGCTGGTGCCCGTTTGGTTAAGCTTCATTCAGTGGACTGTCCAGCTGTCAATCAGTTGTTACGGTTCCTACTGTAGGTAAGACGGCGGCTGCTTACATCCACGTGTTCGTGCTAGTACGGTGGTAGCCAGAGCCCCGGGGAGAAGGCAGACGTTTGAAGTGAAGCTGTTGACAGCAATCATGCTTGAGGTTGTGGTATCAATGTCCGTATCTTCACGACCAACAGTCTCTTGTCCCATGGTTTCATGTTCAACTTTTAGGGGGCTGGGACGATCCCAATCATATTCGAGAAGACAATATGCACATGCGGCTGGACATTCAGGCACTGTTATTGGTGGACTGATTTCCCGATCTGCAGCTGCAAGTGTTCTGATACGGTCTACATTTCCTTGCCTGCGAAAGTCCGGTACAGTTCCCACCTGGGTTGCACGTGAATATAGGACTGTTCTTTGAAATAATCTAGGGTGATTACAATCGTCTCATTATGCAAAGAGCCAGCGGCTCGAGATCCTGATACCACATCCCATTCCAAATCCACTGCGTCAAGCAGTCTGCGTTCGGCATTCCATGAAGAGCTGAGTGAGAAGAGAGTAGTGTGGAAGCAGATGATTCGTCGTCGTAGCTCGTAAGTCGTTCGAATATCCCATCTATAAGGCCCCATCGCTAATTTGGGCCGTGAGCAACGCCGTTGAAACGCCATGACCTTACAATATCGTGGTCTGAGATGAAGTGTGATGCAAACAGGTAATAAGAAACGCTCAATTCGACTCCGGTTTGACTGGCATTACACCCTTGATCTCCCCATGTAGTATCTCGAGTAGCTTTCGGAGAGTATCTGAACTGCTGCTCTTGCGTCGAATCGTCTTGCCGTCCGCATCTTCGCCTTCGGCATCGTCGTCTTGAGTCAGGAGCTCAATAGTTTTTCGAAGTTTCTCGTATGCGGTGTTGAGCTCGGTGTGTGATACTTCGAGTTTGTTGTATCTCTCGTTCAAAGCTGAGAGTTGGACTTCGAGATCACGGGCGTGCTTCTCTTTCCGCTCGCGGAAGGCGCGTTGGGCTGCTCGATTCTGTGCTCGTCGACGCTGTATATTGTTAGTATGCTACAGTTTGGTTTTGGGAAGATCGGCTTACCCCCGATGTGGTGTGTGTCTTCTCAGCAGGCAAAGATGCAGAGCCAGTCATGTAAACGGGTTCCGCGTGTGATAGTGGTCGTGGACTACAGTAAGGACTGTCGTGGTCCGAGCCGAACTCTGAGGGTGTCATTGGCATGTGATATGATCCGAAGTGCATTGGCTCGTCGACAATGTGAGGATAGTAGGCCTGGTGTAGTGGTGCGGGGAACTGATCGTATGTCGACGATACCTACGCACGTTAACAAAGGTGGTTGTGGTGGATCTGTGTGTTCAACTTACTGGCGATCCGCTCAGACTCGGTACTTTCGACATTTCTGGCGGTACTTCGTACAGTGTTGTGTGTTGTTGCTGTGGAGGAACGTAATGGCCTTGCGACATCCAATAATCGAATGACTGGGAATCCATCTCGGCGAACTTGTGTATGGTAGTAGTAAATCAAGCTCTGGTCGCGGTGATAAAGTGTCACAGCTCGGAGGACCTTGGCAAGGTGATGGGCTCTGTCACTGATCGTTTGTAGTCACCAAGTGGGCTGTAGCGAGGGTCGGATATGATGTGCAAGGTAGATGTCTGTAGCACTTGTCTGTGTGGCAGGGCAGGCTTACACATGTGGGCGAGCTGAGATCTTATACAAAGCACGGAGTGCGGAGAGAGTGCACGACCGCATCGGAATCGTTCCTGTTTCTTCGATGCAATTATGCCCGCGTAAACGGTCGTGCTTTACCCTGGCCGCTGTGGCTGTCTGCGAGAAGGTATGCATACCGCTGTCACAAAAGAAGTAAACCAGCCTTTTTTCTCGGCTCACGCGCCGGGGACACGGTCTGGGATGCGGGAAGCTCCCCAAAGTTGTTATTCTCGTCCTCGTGTGAGGGCGTCACCGGCAGCCGCGTGCAAGGGTCTGCATGAAGGCTTGCACTAGGCCAGATTAGGTTTTTGATAAAAAATGCAGCTAACGTCGCAGGCTAACCGCGATGAGCCTCAAGAGGTGGGCGTGGAATACGCAACTTAGTCATTTGTCGTCCCTGCAGAAATGGTAGAGGACGCCGGACATTCTTCTTACGAAGCTTGATGAATTCTCGAGTTGCTTGCGCCGTAGTGGGGGCATGTGTTTTGAATTGTGCTTCATGGGTAGATGCGCCAAGATCTACGCGCTGCGTGGTGTGAGGACCCAATGGGTGCTCAAGAAAGCGAGATTGTTTTCGTGGTGCTCGCAGCGACCGAACGAGATTGAATGCAACAGCAATCCATCTGTGGCTTGACCGAGCACGACAGCAGTGTGGCTCGCGTAGCCACGACGTCACAATGGTATATAACTCGAGTCTGAGGTTACGTCTCACTATGCGAGAGTAACATTGCGTCGTGTGTACTTGCTGGGAATGGCTCCCGAAGTTCGGTCGGAATGTGTTCACATGTTGTCAGCTGGCCACGCATGGCAGCATATGTATAACGCTTTCTCGTCGACGGTATTTTCTTTGTTCAAATCCGTGAAAAGCCGACGTGATAATGGAGTCCAGTGCATGCCCCAAGCGGGCGCACTGCTGTGCATGTTTGCAGCGGGGCGATGATAGGCGGACAGTGCGAAGTCCGCTGTCGGCAGGCAGGAGTGTCAACTCTTGCCGAAGCTTGACCAATGGCAGGCTAGTGCTAACATTAGCGTACTGGCATCACACCTTCGTCTGCTCTGACTTACCATCTTCCTTATCCATTCGGAAGCAGCCTTCCTGCATATCGATTGCCAACATGACACTGGAAGCTATTCATATTCAAGGGGGTGTTGATTTTGGCAGAGGATAGGGCTCCGTTCCTGAACTGGGTGTCCTTCGCAAGGGTCGAACATTCTTCTTTCCTCTGCGGACATTGGCAACACACAATCAGATACCACACGCGGCATATCCCGCCGACCCAGCGTGTGGTATTTCCGTCCGTCCGTGCAGTGGAAAAGCTCCCGCGGCGAGGCGGCATAGCAAGATGAAGCAGCACTGGAGATTTCACTGCACTCCTGCCATCACCGAACGCACATCATGCCACATCAGCCACATGAGGATGTGCTCGTCGGCCTATGCGTGCAGAAGCGAATGGCCCCTGCTACCGAGCTATCATCTTGAGTACGACACATTCCACCATTGAGCTGCCGTCTAGACGATGCACAACAGTCCCTTGATATACGACGCAGCTATTTGCACATGACCAGGAACTCTTACCTGATATCTGCCCTATGGCTGACACATGCTGTGGCTGCAGTACAAATCCTGGTTCGATGTCAAAAGCGTATGGTATGCGACGCAGACAATTCGAGTTGGTCTGCAGTCGCGTAGTAACCGTTCTAACACCTTGAAGAAGGCAAGTACGGACAAGAGCAGAGTGGTCCTTTCCTGCAGATGCTTTCGGGACGACAGTCTGCACTTTGACTGTTCTGCTACCTTACGTCTTCTATCAATGCAAAGAACAGGTCCTTCGTTGTTATTGGTAACTGGTGATACCAACAGAGTTTTGACAGTTCGGTTGCCCGCCAAACGGTCGACTGAACGGTCTAGCAAACGTCCCACTATACAGCCTTAGGGTGTACAGTCAGCGCAGATCTTACACTGCGCTAGCATGCAGCCGATCTGTCTCCATGACACGGACCCAGCGTAGGGCTGCGCCTACCAAATCACATCCGTGCGGACTCCATCACCATGCGCATTATCACTGTCCAAATATGCCTTAGTGGTATAGGGCTACGCAGGGTCCGAAGATCTCACTGGGAACTAGTAGCCTTATCTGGATATTTTACCACATTTGGCTCGCTTGTCTAATTTACCCGTGTTGTGGTACGATATGGAACGAGTCCTGGCCGAACCTTTCACTGACAATTGACATCACTCCGGGAATAGAAGTACCTCTATCACCAGCCCCTTTCGTCTACAATGTGTTCACGAGAACGCGGTGCAGGTTTCGAGTCACGATAGACTTCATCACTGGGGAAAGTACCGCACATCACGCGCTCTGCGAGCATAGTACGACATCGACTCACTCTCGACCGATCACTTTTCACAAAGTAAACCTGCAGCCTTACCACCGTTTGTCGAGTAGCTACTGCAGAAAAGCTTAGCTTCCTTGGTCGCCCCGTGGGGTCCGCGACCACCCTGAACGATTAGACTCTGATCTTCCGTTGCGTACTAGAAAATACCTATCGCGTGACTTCGCAGCACGAGTATCGGCATCAGCTCGGACCCGATTTCAAGATTACTCGGGAGGTCAACGGCAGGCTGAGTAAGATACGCCCCCGTTACAAAGCTCAGCCGCTACGACACCCGATGAGTGAACGCTAACTCGCGCAATTCTACGTCACGTCCATCACTCTCGACCAACCTCGCGTCTCTTCTGAGCTCGAATGTAGCTTGGATCGGTTCATGCTCGCGCCATTGGCTTGTACAATGGACGCGCTCCATTGAACTAATGTGTAAGCCACATACCATGCAAAGATTGTTGTGCCTGTTAGCACACGGGCCAACAAGTTCCGTAAGTTGCTCAGATAACAAGTCATGAGAGATGACGTCATATCTTCGGGATGCAACCATACACGCGTCGAGTTAACTTGAGCGCAGGTATGGCTGAATTCCAGGTCTGCACCGCACGACCGTACGCTGCCGTAGATTCTGTTCAACAACCGTCAGCAAGCTGAGGTCGACCTCTTCCATTTAGGATCATCCGGGCGGAATAACAGTAGCCCCGAATGCAGCTTCCTTTAGACAAAGCCGATGAATCCAAAGTATCGCACATCAATCCAGTCTTATCACCCAGGTAATTGACCTTGAACGAACAATTACATTAATTCATACCAGTTCAAGGTATGTTAAGCTACAACCGCCATTTCTAAATGATCATGACGACCGATGTGGTTGTGAAGCGCGTAAGTAGTGTAACCGCGCGCATAATGGGACTCCCTTTCTCCGAGCGGCTCGACATGAGCCTCAAAACATCAAAACCACAGCCTCACCCTACTAATCATCAGCAACTCTAATACAGCAGTCACTTACTTTTCAAGCGATTCCGCGGGACCTCACTGTCAAATCAGAATTGTACATTCGCTTCAATGAATCTACTCAAGACCGATACATTTGAGGTAGTGCACTTCCTACGTTCGCGCCCAACGCCTCGCTACGCAATCCTATCGCACCGATGGGAATTCCCAGAAATTACGTTCGACGACATAGAACCCCTGAAGCTCGCACTGCGCAGAACTCCCACCCAGTTAATCCCAACAAACCTCCGCGCTAGCGCAGCGAAGATCCGAGGTGCTTGTGCAATCGCCCAGCAACAAGACATTGAGTACATCTGGATCGACAACTGCTGCATTGACAAGTCAAAGAGCGAGGAATTGCGATATGCGTTGAATTCGATGTTCAAATGGTACCGCAATGCAGTGGTGTGCTACACATACTTTAACGACGTGACATTCGACAAGGCCGATGAGAAGATGTTCATGAGCGACCACCCGAATAGGCGTGGGCAGCCGAGTGAGTGGTTTGAGAGGGGGTGGACGTTGCAAGAACTTCTGGCTCCGCAGAACATGCAGTTCTATGATAAGCGCTGGAAGCTCATGGGTACGAGGAATGAGCTCGCAGTGCTGGTGGGAAGGATTACGGGAATTGGTGCTGAATATCTGAGCGGAAGGCGCGATTTGAGCGAGGCGAGTTATGCAACGCGGATGAGTTGGATGGCGGGACGTGTTACTCAGGAAGTTGAGGATATTGCGTACAGTCTCATCGGGTTGTTTGATACCTATCTCGAACCGATGTATGGCGAGGGCACGAGAGCCTTCGTCAGGCTACAGGAGGCTATCATGAATGAGTTTGGTCGTTTCGACGAGTCTTTGTTTGCGTGGGAACGGCCACAAGACTCGGTACTGAGGTGTTATCGAAACGAGCCTCGGGTCCATCACTTCGAGCACAACGAATGGGGCCTCCTTGCACCATCGCCAGATTGCTTCAAGAGATCGGGCGGAATCTTCGTACACAAAGACCTGGTTGGAATTAGACCAGCTGGCGGCTTTGGGCGATCACACCAGGGCATCTTCTTTTCGTTGCCATCCAAGGACGTGCACCATAGGTTTGGGGGCCCTCGCAGCAACATCACCTTACCGTTGAACTGTTGGCGAGTCAATAGCGGTGGGGCGCCCGAGGCTATTGTTCTGAAGCTTTCAAAGATCGCGGATGGAGAAACCTTCCGGACCCAGTGTGATCAACTCAGCTCAAAGAAAGGCGCTAGAGTGAGCAGTAAAGGTGGTACAATCATTGCCGTTGCGCAACCACAATTAGGGAAGTATCGAAAGTAACGGATTTTGGGGTCTCTAAACCAATACCAAATTTCTAGTTCCCAGGCCTCGAGTCGCAACCTCTTCAAAGATCTAAATTCAAACATGTCAATCCTCTCGTATATCTCAGTCTCGTCGCCTTTTGCACCACAAGCAGGTTTGAGAATCAGACCCTGGGCAGGATCCGGAATCTCGAGTTCATCTTCTTCTCTTTCAGCTACGTACACCAGTAACGCAAGATATTTCTGACGTAAATGCGGTAGTGTCCAGCTCAAATGGGGCATCTCTGTCAGCCAAAGTAGACGACACCGTGATAAAAGACACGCCATCCTTGTCTCAACTATGAAGAGCGCGGATGTGGTGCTCATACCTGCATAATCATCACTATTGTAGCGGGGTGGTGTCTCGTCCTAAAAGGTGTCGACGCGATAGGGCCTCCTAGCAAAGCCTGGAATGTGTCGTCTGCTTCGAATCACTAGTAAGCTCGGCCATATACTTTCCGGCCACATATAGTTTCCGGCCACCCACCCAAAGCAGCCATACAGTATAGAGTCACGATTTTCTCAACAACGATGATTATATTTGCCACTGTGTACACATAGAGTTGAAAGCAAGAGTTGCTGTAGCTGTTGCAACTGTATGAGCTGCTCTCTCTGCTGAAGAAGCTGCTTGTTGAGCCTGTAGAGCTGCTGCTTGGTTGATGGCAGCTTGTATAGCCTCAACGTTGCTGAATTGCTCATTTGGATTAACTTGAACTTGCTTTCTTGTACGGGTAATCTTGTGATGATCTAGTTGATATTTCAGCTGTTGATTCTCAGCTTCTAGTTGGGCTGCTCTAGTGTTTGCTGCTGCAATAGCTTTGCCTGCCTTGCCAAGCACTATCCGCGTGCTTCGTGAGAGAGATTCTGACAACAATAGCTGCTGCTGGGCCTTGTATAGAGCCTGCAAGCTCCGAGGAGTAGTAAATATCGACTCTGAGGCAGCTGCTGAGGCCTGGGTGGGTGGAGGAGTACAGGGTCATCCAGTTACTTGGGATGACCGTAGTACTAGACCTGGGTTGTACGGACAGAGACCAGCAGCCCTCCAGCCAGCTCTTATTACACGATCTGATAGAGCTTCTTCTCTTGCCTTGTTATATGATATAACAAAGCGCTCCTTCTTGACAGGTGCTGCATCATTGAGCGCAGAGAGAGCTCGGATCTCATTGCGATATTGTGTCTTCAGAACCAAGAAAGGAGCAAGATCTAGAGGCTGGAGCAAGTGTGAGGCGTGAGCTGGGAGGTAGGGAAGGTGGATCTTGTTGACCTTGCAGAGCCACATGAAGTTGATAGGTGTATGGGAGCTGTGACCGTCAAGAAGGAGTAGTCGATAGCCACCGTTTAATGGTGAAGTATTTGGTATAAAAATACGCTGTAGCCATTCACAGCCAATCGAATTGGACGTCCAGCCGTTCTCTGATGTTGTATAGAGCCAATTTGGCGTGCCTTGGGCTGGGAACCAGGTGGATTGTAGATGCTTGCCCTTGAAGATGACTAGGCATTGAAGCTTGATGCCGGTGGCAGATATTGTCTCGATGATTGATACCCACTCACAATCCTCTGGAGGTTTGATATAAGCCTTCTTTTTCACAGAGCTTGCAAGTACCTGGGTGTTTGTACATACCCCTAGTGCGCACCCAGTCTCATCCATATTCCACGTATCTTCATACTGTATGCCTAGTTCGACTCTCGTCCGCTCAAACAGCTAAAGAAAGGCGCGGATTGTCTCGTAGTTTGCTGCTGTAGTACGTGCGCTCTCAATCATCTGGCCAACTATAGATGCGACACGTGGGTTGCGGTTGATGAAATGGGGTACCCATAGTTGCCCAAGAGGCTTGTAGTCACTGTTCATGTGGAGGAGCCAGGTGGCCATTTCTTGTATGCGAGGATGGGAGGGAGGTTGTGCACGTGAGTCCTTGTCAAGTATCCAATCTACTAGAAAGGTGTTGAAGTCGTGTCTTAAGCAAAGCTCGTAGACACTATTCGATTGGTTCTCGGGGATGAGCAGAGGTACAGAAAGCCGTTGGGGGTTGGTTATCACTGAGTGAGCTCGGAGCGGCAGAGGTTTGACCGTGATAAATCGCCGTGATAAATCGCCGTGATAATCAGGGGTAGTCGTCTAGTCAAAGACCATGGCGACTGGTTGCAATGAGTAGTACAGAGTATACTGTCTGGCTCAAGAGCAAGTGAGATTCCAATAACAAAGTTGATTGACAAGGTTGAACACAATGCCATAAGGGCAGCGTGTCTACTTGCAATATAATTGAGCAGAGGATTGCTCGGATTGCTCGGTACTGAGTATACTGATTGTACCAAGTATACTGCTTGTACCAAGTATACTGATCATACCGAGTATACTGCTTGTACCAAGTATATGTTACGATCCATGAACAACTTGCAAAACAACACTGAACAAACAGGACTACGCAACGAGACGAGAGCAGCCAAGGAACTGCAGTATTGATTGACCAAGCTGTGAAGCCGCGTCAGTGATACCCAGTATAATCAACACTCGCAATATCTGTTATACGAACCAAGATTGTACAAAAAGGACTGCAGTGGATACAATGTGGATCTTGTACACAAACGATTGTCACGGACCCATACACCGACCCACTTGCAGAGGACCCATGTTGACAACAATCAATAGGACACCAAGGACCGAGTATTGAGGTCACGTCGACAACGCTCGATTGGACTGAGTATCAAGTCACTGACGATACTCGATATGAGCAGTACAATCAATCCTCCTGTCAAGTATATAAGCAAGTAGACACGCTGCCCTTATGGCATTGTGTTCAACCTTGTCAATCAACTTTGTTATTGGAATCTCACCTGCTCTCGAGCCAGACAGTATACTCTGTACTACTCATTGCAACCAGTCGCCATGGTCTTTGACTAGACGACTACCCCCTGATTATCACAGCGGTTTATCACAGTCAAACCTCTGCCGCTCTGAGCTCGCTCAGTGATAACCAACCCCCAACGGCTTTCTGTACCTCTGCTCATCCCCGAGAACCAATCGAATAATGTCTACAAGCTTTGCTTAAGACACGACTTCAACAGTATATTGCTTGTGCCAAGTATTGCCAATGCAGCCTCACTGCTCGGGTTGCTTGAGTTCCTCAACTGAGAGTGATGATCATACTGAGTATTGCCAATGCGGCCCACTGCTTGGGTCAATCAATACTACAGTTCCTTGGCTCCTCTTGTATTGTTGTGTAGTCCTGTTCGTTCAGTGTTGTTGCGGGTTGCCCTTTGATCGTAACACAAGGCTTACTTGTTGAACATTGGCAAGACCAACCACCCATTCTGCAGCTATGGAGCCAAGCAGACCCCTGAGTACCTGCTCTTGAGCTGCAAGTGGCTGAGAGAAGACTGGAAAATCCTCTAGGACAGTCTAGGGAAGGTACAGCTGACTCTTCCTCCCCCTCTACACCAAGGAAGGCATCTCATCAGCAGTGTGAGAGGGGGCCAGGTGGGGATACCAACTGCTCTCTGAGATGGAAGGATTGGTGGAAGGATGGTTCAGGCTTGTTGGAGATAAGGGTGTAGAGGAGACCAAGTGT